AACAGGTAAATAATAAAAAATCTGAGTGGATTCGATCCAACGACCTACCCGTTCGGCTATACAGGCTTATTGGCTTTCTAGATTATGGATGTGCCATGAATATGAGAACACTGTGACATCATTCAGGCAGTTCAGGAATCCATGTTTAACCCTCCTCTTGAGGGTCAACGGGTTATCAGACACTTACTCTTCGCACGTCAGTGGAAAGCACATTTCATGGTCCTTTCAATAAAGTGATAAAAACGGTAGGTCAGCGCTGAAACAAAAAAGTTTTGCACTCGGTCCGTTAGACCATGTCCTCAGAAAATGTCTGATATCTGACCTTTCCCCCACTGCCCTTTGACCTGTGACCTCTATTTTCGCGCTGGTGATGGGTTTCCTCCCCATCACACTATAAATCGAATATTAAGAGCGTAGGTCGAGCCGTGCGAAGAGTAAGTGTCTGATAACCTTTTGACCCTCAAAAAGAGGGTTAAACATGGATTTGTTGACTGTTAACAAAGGACTGAACTGCTTTTGCTATTAGAGCAATTTGAATACATTTTATGCACATGCATCTTATTTCAGGCAGCTTGCCAGTTTAATTTGCCGGTCAAGTGCTGGTCAATATTTGAATAAGGAAAACAATCACTTGGCCCAAAATAGTGAGAACAGAACTGCTTGTCGCGCGTTATATGTAGTAATGCTGTTATATGTCAGCGAGATTCTCACGCGGCGTTAGGCACGTGATCATATAGTAAGGCACAGGTTCGTTTTACGGTCAGATACGTGTGTAAAACACGTCATGCAATGAGGTGTAAAATACAAACAGAGTATACTATAGCTCAAGGGGTCGTTGTCGTAACAGGTACTACAGATATGTACCCGAGGTACATATATGTATACACAAAGTGTACCAGACTTGTACTACAGAAGTGTACCCTAACCCTAACACTAACCCTAACCCTAACTCTAACCCTAACCCTAACGCGCTACTCTAACGCACTGAACCTAACCCTAAAACATACCTCATATAAAAATATGAACCATAAACTAAAAGCAACGCTAAAACTAGGCGTCGGGTAGACTATTCTGTAGTACCCTGTTACGGCAATGACCCCTTACGTGGCTATATACAGACCGATAGATTTACAACAGTACATTCCGCTCATCAGCATTAAGTACACCGCATTAATTTGGTAATCTATAGCCAAAAGCATTCGTCGAACAGTGAACATAACATAAGTTTCGTCAACGCGAGGTAGCAAACTAAAGAAGGGTTACAATGCAGTGCATATCTTACGACTGTGGGTGTAAGTGCTAGCAGCGCAAGCCTGAAATCTGGATCGATTGTTGTGCAGCAACTGGCATAGTCAACCAGCAAAAGATCATCAGGCTGGCTCATGGCGTGGCTCGAGAAGCTGGTGTGTGTGTGTGTGTGTGTGTGTGTGTGTGTTGTGTGTGTGTGTGTGTGTGGTGTAATTATGTATGTGTGTGATGTGTGGTGTCGCGCGTGTGGCGGTGTGCGTGTGTGTGTGCGTGTGTGTGTGTGTGTGTGTGTGTGTGTGTGCGCGCGGCAGGCAGCGTTCGTGGCGTGTGCGATGTGCGTGGTGTTGTGTGTGTGTGTGTGTGTGTGTGTGTGTGTGTGTGTGTGTGTGTGTGTGTCGTGTGTGTGTTTGGCGTGTGGCGTGTGCGTGTGTTTGTGTGTGTGGTAGTCGCGGTGTGTGTGCGTGGCGTGTCGCGTGTTGTTTGTGTGGTGTGTGTGTGTCGTGTGTGTGTGTGGGTGTCGTGTGGTGCCTGTGTGTGTGCTGGTGTGGCGTGCGTCGTGCGCATCGCGCGTGCGCGTGTGTTAGTATGGAAGCCCATTATTACCGGCAAAACCTACCTATTTTAATCGCGTTTAGAAATGTATTATATAAGCGCGATTGAATTCGCAGGCCATCAGAACAGTGGTTTTTAATCAGCGATTCAAATAACAGATTTTAAGCGGATTAAAATTTCAGCTATTCAGAACATATACAACCAGTCGGCATTTAATCGGCGATAAAATAGATTTTAAGCGCGATAATTAGGTCTGAGGTTTTGGGCACCGTCATATGGGCACTCATAACCGCTAATAGGCGGCGTCATGAAGTCTAATTTCGGTTAAATATTTCGATAAGATTACGGAAGAATAAATTTACCCACACGTGTTGTCCGTTTATCAGTGGTGCGGCCGCGCGCGCCGCGCAGCGGTCGTCGTGTGTGTGTGTGTGTGGTGTGCTGTGCGTGCGTGCGTGCGTGGGCGTGCGTGCGTGCTGTGTGGTTGTGTGGTGTGTGTGTGTGTGTGTGTGTGTGTGTTGTGTGTGGCATGGTGTTGTGTTGAGAAGAGCAAGAGGAGTGTGCGTGATTTGTGTTGTGTGTGGTGAGCAGAAGAGATGAGAAGGAAGAGAAATTTGAAATAGAGTAGACATTTCCGTATTTCATACTAAAACATAAATCATACTAAACGGTATCAGAGCACACGATGACGACAACACGTTTGGGTAGATGTATATATAGGTAATTTATTCTTCCCAATAATATTTATGGGTCCACCACGAATCAATAATTTCGCTACGATCAGTGTGACCGGGGCTTTAATGCGTTAATCGGAAACCTACTCTTCAAGCCGATACACTTCATTGACGCCCGCTAAAGCGGCTATGATGGTGCCCTAATGAGGTTGCAAAACTCTACGTATTTTAATGCGGCGATTAAAAAACCGCACTGTTCTAAATGCCCTGAATTTAATCGCGCCTTAAAAATCTATTTTAATCGGCGATTAAAAACGCACTGTTCTGATTGCTGAATATTCAATCGCCGCATAAATATACATTTTAAGTCGGCGGGTTAAGATTGTGCCAACTGTTGAGCGGACGGACGACGCCCTGACGGACAGACGGACCGAACGCGACCATCATGCGATTCTACACAGCTGCATGCTGACTTCGCAGCATAACTAAAAATCTTGATAAAAATCTATTCAAAGTCGCCTTTTATTCTCGATCCCTGATCAAATCTCAGCCACTCGATTCTCTGTTAAAATGCTACGTGTTTCAGGTAAATGCGTTTTAATTCAATGCAAAACGACTTTAAGATTTTTAGATAAAACGTTGAACATTTCGAAATTTCGGAATCAATCCAATAATCACCACCTATCCAAACGCTCAAAGTCAACCGATATATAAACTAACGATCTATAATTTACTCATCGGCATATCTGTTTAGAAACTTAGACATTTCACGGAAAGCAGCGTTTTATTATGAACTCGTTAACTTAAATTATGACGTTGGTTATAATCAATGCGATGAGAATAACCCAACAAGATCGAAGCTAGAACTATATACTACTAGGCGACATTGCTATAAATATAATATTAATATGCATAGTCTAGATCTCACATTATTGCAATAAAAGCAAATAAAAACAAAAACTGCTACGAACGAGAAAAACGGATTCATGGAATGTAAGCGGCTGACCACAGATTCATTTTCGCAATGTTCGACATGTGCAAATGGTAGACAGCTGGGCTATATCCTTGGCCGAAAAATCCGCACGCGAAATCTCATGAAGATAGCGACACGCAGCCACCACCCACACGTCTGAATCAGTGACTGAGCTGGAACGCGAAACTTATTTAGCTGGTTGTTATATTAGCTCTCGAGGAATTAGAAAAAAAAAATGGAAATACTATGCTAAACTGAGAATGGGAACCAACGTACGATACACACAATGGGTTTTATACCATGTAGGCCGCAAGGATCGCTGAGTGAATAAGGACAGACAATTAAAACGCATTATATTCTTACGTTTAACGTTCAATTAATTATAAAAAGGGAAATAGACACCGGCTGATGTCAATAACAGAATGAAAAGAAAATAATTATGCATTAAGACATTACGAAAGACCTTATAATGATAGAAGGAGAGCAGCGCACGGAAGGGAGAGAGAGAGGCAGAGGAGAGAGAGAGAGAGAGAGGAAGAGAGAGAGAGAGGAAAGAGAGAGTGTGGAGAGGCGAGAGAGAAAGGAAAGAGAGAGAGAGGAGAGAGAGAGAGAGAGAGAGAGTGTAGAGCGAGAGAGAGAGAGAGAGAGAGAGAGAGAGAGAGAGAGAGAGAGAGAGAGAGAGGGGAGAGGGGGGGAGAGAGACAGCGTGTGAGTGAGCGAGAAAGATATTGTGCGACTATTCAGCTGTGGTTCAAACCACAATCAAAAATGTTTTGAACGTTTGAAATTGTAATTGCCTGTTAATTAACAATATCAATTAACACCTAAGCAATAATAATTAACACCCTTAGAAACAGCTCGAGTCTTTCGCGCATTATCCATTTCCAATTGCATTTTGCATTGTGCCTTTACCGCATTACACATATAGCTTATCAATCTAATCCTAACCGTATATAAGCACAGGCAAAAGTAATGAATTCCAAGCAACTAATTTACTGTACACGTGATTGCCCATCGTGGCAGTTTTGTGATCATCGTGCAATCGTTGCCAAGGGTTAGAGCGTTAGATATATACATCCGCCCTCGTGTAGCTTATAAGTAGGGCATGGGTCTATTAGTATAGCCCTATAGCTTGTTGCCACAGGGTCAGTGTTGTTGTCACATATGTCTGTGGCAACAAGGGCTATAGTCCTAGAGCTATGCATTACTATGACCTTGCATGGCGGTCCTGCAAGACGCCTTGGTTGCATTACTAACCGCTCAAGTCTAATATCACCTACCCGTTACTCCAGCTGGGGTCCAGTGTGAAGCAACTTCGACATGCGTACGTCTGTTTAGCGGACGTAGCAGTTATAATACGCAGACACGCGCCCCGCGCGCGCACATACACAATGCACACACGTCAAAAGCTCCTCCAATAATTATATATTATTGCTGGGCACACTCAATGTCCGTCCTTTATTCGCTGTAGATACATAGACGAGCGCAGGAGTTGTTATCGTTCTAGCTGGCGCGCCAGCGGACGTTTGTAGGTGTGTAAGAGATATACGTACCTATATACTGCAGCGTCGAGAGGATATCGTAGCTAAGCCGACCACTATTTATGTTCATGACGTAGTTCCGATCGCGCTCGCATTCATCACCGCCACAGTCACAAGCGCAGTAATTCTTAGAGTGGCAAGGCGATTAATCTTTACCTAGAAGTCGTGGACCGGGTCACGCACGTAGCTACGCAGCGCCTGCATATGCGCGTCGCGGCGATCCGTAGGATATATGCGGTACTAGTACGTCGTAAAGGCTACTTCGTAGTTATTGTAATGTGTGGTGACGATGCGTCATCTGCGAGCCGGCATACGCCCTCTGCTGAGAATGCAAATATTGCGCATTTTAGTAGAATTGCTGCTGTAACGGCTGCAGCGTTGTTGGTGGTGCTGAGAAGGCGCGACCATACCGCTACAAGCGTAGTATATGCGTGGCTAGAGTTCACAACAACCGTCCCGAATAGTGTACGTGCGAGAAAATTGCTCTCAAAAGTAGCTAGCGGATGCGGCGGGGAATGAAAATGAAAAAAACATCAAATTCCTTCCCTCCTTACTAGGCTCGTAGGGTCTATGTCCCCCTGACCTCTGTTTGACCTGGCTCGTCTAGCTATTTCTGACTAACCCTAACCCTAACCCTATATATATATTATATATATATATATATATTAGTCAGAAATAGCTAAACGAGCCAGGTCAAACAGAGGTCAGGGGGACATAGACCTTATCTGCCTTACTACCCTTCTCTCCTTCTCCCATCGCTCCCACCCGCTCCCCCTTCTCCCTCTCCCTTTCTTTCGGTCTGTCTCTCTATATCTGTAACTCTCGTTCTCTCATCGGATCTTGCTCTCCACCCTTCTCTCCCTGTCTTCGTTTGTCTCCCCCTTCCTCCCACTCTCTGACCCTCCTCTTTCCTCGTGGAAATAGGCCCTACTACAGTTATTGCTAAGCCACACGATGTGTAATGGTGCATCAGTAGCTTCATAGAAGCGAGAACATTTCATTCCAGTTAATCGGACGGTGGTACTCTGCGCGCAATCTGGGGATTTTTATGGATAGATTGTCGCATCAAAAACAACAACAACAACAACAAAGGACGAACGATGACGATGACACCGACGAAAGCAACACCAACACCGGCAGCAGCAACAGTAACATCCATTTCCATCCATTCCATTCCATTCACTTCCTTCTGTGTAATTGCATGGTCAAACCTGCTCCGTTGCTCATGGCCTATTGAAATGCACATCACTCTCGAGTTAAGGGAGAGATATATATATATAGCAAATAGGTAAAATGGTTGTGCAGATTTAAGATATCATTTCACGCTGGCAAATGAAACTTTAACAATGACACAACACCTCATATAATCAAGAGCGTATTAAGAAGCTTTATTTTCTTAAGACCTTCTTTATACGCTCTTGATATAATATTATATGCCCCTCCCAGCGGACAGTTTTTATCTTTATAAATACCAGTTTAAATTCTGACGGAAATGAGCCAATCTATACAGACTCGGTTATTGTAAGCATCGAAAAGGTCAAACATACTGCAGGCTGTAAATATTCTCATATCGTATCTATAGCAAGCAAGGTCGTAGGCTGAACAAATTTTTTTAGTGGGGGCAAAATTTCATGACTCAACTGTGTAAGGATGAGCGACGGACGCAGCGCTTGATCGACATCCATACCATGGTAGGGGTGGGTCTGAGACAAGGCTTCACTGATTAGTGACCAAAGAAAAATCACGTTAGGGTTATTTACGATTATTAGCTAAGCTTACTTTTTAATTTTGCTCCAAAATCTAGGGGTAGGCAGCTACCCCCTTGCCCCCACAGGCTACGGCCCTGGCACGGACACTGCATTTTATAATGGTTATAATTATAGTTTTTGTTTGTTTTATGTAATTAATGAGTGAGGAGTACGCGTTTGTGTGTGATTGTCAACGAACTCTTTACAAATGAAAGATTGCGGATATACGGCAATTACATTGACAGTGGCGCGTGGACTCACATACTAAGAAAATGTGGACGACGAGGCGTTTCCTGCTACCACAATGAGGATTTAGCTGCAGAACTTTATTTTCCAAGCTCAACATGCATGAGAGCATAATTTTAGTAACAACTTATAGTCAAGCACATAAAAATGGGCACATTGTGCACTTTTGGTTAGAATTGTGAAACTTTGCACATGCATAATACAATATTAGGTCCTGAAGATTTTCTGATATAGTGCCAATTGAACAGCGCCCCCTGGCGGGTTAACGGGTATTTCGTTACACCACTCTTTGGGTTTTGGCTATAATTTCAATAATACGCATTCAATTTATTCAAGAAAATGGATGAGTATTATCGAAATTATAGCCAAAACCCCAATCGCGATACCCGCTAACCCACCAGGGGGCGCTGAGCGCCACCAGGGGGCACTGTACGCCACCAGGCGGCGCTGTTCTATTGGCACTATATCGGAAACTCATCAGGACCTCATGTAGTACGCGTGTGCAAAGTTCCACATTTCTAACCAAAAGTGCACAATCCATATGTGCTTATCTGCCCTACTAATTGAAGAAATTGGCTGACTATCGGCAACAATGTGTTGAAATCACAAGCAACTGCAATGTCTTTGTAGATACCACACGACAGACTAATGGTGAGACGGACGGATGGCAACTTGGGAAGGAGTGATAACAATAGCAATGTTGCCCCATGTGCGTCATGCACGTCGATGGCATTAGAGTGGTGAATGGATTTGCGGGCAAAGATTCGTGCAATTATCTGACCATATAACCGGGAAGTTGCTTGAACCGTACATCGTACATGTTCTTGATGTTATCGCATAATATGACTAGACTGTATCATATTAATGACCGTTCGGGATCGAGTACACATACTTAAAATTCAGTCTATAAATGAAGAAAAAGCGCAAGGTCAAAACGATTAGGATGGAATTCGCCTCCGGCGAAGAAGTGGCCTTCCCGGTGGGGACTTTGGCCCCTGTATCGGCCAATCTCTGGCTCCACCTCTGCCGTGAAAGATGTCTAGAACCGTTCAGCAGTGTTACGATAGATCGCCGGATAGCAGCTTTGAGTCATAAGTTATTAATCAATGTACCCGCGCACCACGGATGACGCACTGGTTTCCGTATGCTTCCTGTCTTCACAATACTTCCTGCCAATTTAGCAGAAGTTAGTAAGTGACGATCCCTCTCTATTTTAAAATACTGGTTGGATCATGCGGGGAACATAATATTATTATTAAGCACAAGGGTATGACTAGACGGAAATTGATTGGTTTGGGAACTCATGCATAAGTCCGAGTTTTCTCTGACCAATGCATATACACCGACAAATTTGGGTAGATTTGGAGTGGGCTGCCTCAAACAACAACGCAGTGAGTCTATTATCGGTTAGACTCAACACAAAAGCCCGCTTGTTCAAACTTTGCAAACTTTGCTTGTAAATATAGACTATAGCTAATAGGTATACAAATTGTGCATGATAGCAATAAGTGAACACTGTAAGGAAGAGATGGATTGGGAGGACTGAGAGGTTCAGTAAAGAGTGATATAGAGAGAGAGATAGAGAAAGAGAGAAGAGAGAGAGAGAGAGAGAGAGAGAGAGAGAGAGAGTAAAGATAGAGAGAGAGAGATTAAATAGAGAGAGAAAGAAAGAAAGAGAGAGAGAGAAGAGAAGAGAAGGGAGCGAGAAAGAGAGAGAGATTAAATAGAGAGAGAGAGAGAGAGAGAGAGAGAGAGAGAGAGAAGAAAAGAGAGAGAGAGAGAGTGAGTGAGAGAGAGAAAAGAGAAGGAGGAGAAGAGAGAGAGCTAGCGAGCGAGAGAGGGAAAATAAAGGGAAGAGTGATAGTTAGATAGAGGGCTGGAACATATAGAGAAACATAGGAGAGAGCTCTGGTGAGACCACCATAGTGCGGGCAGTAGTACATAACTCGGATAGACCCAACCATATCCGTCATGGAGTTGTATTATAGGCGTAACTGTCGGCGACAGCTATTTGGAAAAACCGGTCTCAAAAACCTGCAACTATATGAATATTTAAGTGAAACATACACGCCACGCGTTACTAAACGTTGTTCTAATTTCAATCTTTTAAATTGATTGATATAATGGTAGCGTATGTTTCACACCCCTACTCCTACGTTGAACTATTTTCCAGAAACTACGTATGCTAAAAACAACATCTGTGAAACATACGCTAACTAATTATGACCCATTCAACTTTGCAAACGTTAAGAGAAAACGCCACATTAGGGTATTCGCGGGTAAGCTCCACAGTATTTGCTGTATATAATATGCTAAATAAATCGAAATTATTTACTAGCCAAGTCTAAGACTCGTATATATATTTATGTGTCAGTGTGCGGCAGCGTGCATGCGGTGTACATGTGTGTTGCAGAGGAGCATTTGCACGGCATTTACAGGAAATTGTCGGCAATAATAGGCGAAAGAGAGTAGAGAAACATGAAGGCTTTGGTAGTAAATAGATTTCGTATTTATTTAGCATTATTTTTTATTGAAACGCTCCAAGTGCCTGTGGTAAGCTCTATCCATGTATAGCAAGTCCTTCACTACGCAACAGGTAGTTTCGGATCAAAGAACTACCGTATTATGCGTGTGAACTTGTGAAGATAGGTTTGTGTTAGGATTAGGGGGTAGGTTTAACGTCATGCTGATATGCTCAGGCTTATGGTTACCGTTGATGCTATTATGATGGTCGTGGTTAGAGCTAGAGCTGGGGATTAGGAATAGATTAGGTTAGTGTAGTCTAGTTGTAGAAGGTTAGTAAGCAGTCAGTGTTGTGGGTATGGCTAGCCGTATGACAATACACATACAGGTATTTCCGTTTGACCGTTTCTTAGAGCTATTATGTTATGGTTGGAATTACTATTAGGGAATGGGTGGGGAGATTGTTTTGGCAGGTACGTGGTAGATATGTCGTAGGGTTAGGGATATGTATTCCAAATGTTACACGTTCACGTATAATTTGGTTACGGTTATGCATAAAGACATG